ATACATTGTGCTGCATGAACAACACGGGATTGGAACGACCTGCTGGACAGTGGTACCCCAATGGGGCTGACTGGAAGATGCCACCATAACATCTAAGACCATCTTGTCTACTGAAAGCACTTTTTCACTGTTATTATTGGTGTATTGTATAGTTATGATTTTAATGTTTTATTGGATTTTATACATGGGCTTTTGCCCTCTTGTTAGCCGCCCTGAGCCTGCTCGCGGGCAGGGCGGGATAAAAATACCTAAATAAATAAAAAATAAATAAATAATGCCAGGAGCTCACAAAGTAGAATTTTTGCTCACAAGACGCCACAGCTTAGGGGGAGCGTTGGTCATGTGACATGACTGGGGTCATGTGACATTGGCCCTTTCTGCACTCTCCACTGCGTATGCATGAAAAGATCAATGAGCTGACCATGAAGACAGATGACTGGATCTATTAATATGACGGTCACCATCATCCTCAAGCAATACTATTACTACAGATCTTTGCTAGCACTTTATAATATGGAATGGTTTTAGGTTTTATCATGTTATAATTGTTATTTATGTGTTTTATCTCTTATGGAAGCCGCTCTGAGTCTGCCCCGGCAGGAAGGGTGGGGTATAAATTGAAATAACAACAACAACAACAACCGTCTTTTTAACCCCCCCCATTCTGCATTAAATCGAGTTCAACCTTCTTTTTATTACGGGTTTGCCCCCCATTCTGCACTACATTACCTCCCTTCAGTGGTCAGCCCGGTTTCAGCCTGCTGTTGCCCCAGGTTAATTGGATGCTGTTTTGCCCTGGACTTCAATTGCCTCGACTCGAACACTGAGACAATTCGGAGTGGCAGGCAAATGAGGAAAAGACCATGGAGGCAGGCAAGGGCAAACCACCTCTGAATGTGTCTTCCCTTGAATACCCCACCAGGGGTCGCCATAAGCCACCTGTGACTTGACGGCACCATCCGCCACTAATGTGTGGAAATGGGCCGCAGAAGCTTTTCATGGCATGGCGGTCAATAACATCTCCTGATAAACACAATCCTATTACACCTCTATTAAAGGGACAGGGCACCCCCCCCCCCCCAAGGCCTGGCAGCAAGGCAACCCTAGTCTGTGCTCATGCAGTCAGAAGTAATTCCCATAGACCCCAGTGAGATCTACCGAGTAAGTACGCAAACTTTAGTTTTCCTTCTCCATGTATGTTTTTGCCTTGGCGTATTGATATAAGTCATGTATGGCTGCAAGAGTTGGACCATAAGGAAGGCTGAGCGCCGAAGAATAGATTCTTTTGAACTATGGTGCTGGAGAAGACTCTTGAGAGTCCCTTGGACTGCAAGGAGATCATATCAGTCAATCCTAAAAGTAATCAACCCTGACTGTCCCCTGGAAGGCCAGATAATGAAACTGAAGCTCAAATACTTTGGCCACCCAATGAGAAGGGAGCACTCACTGGAGAAGACCCTGATGCTGGGAAAGACTGAAGGTCAAAGAAGATGGGGATGGCAAAGGATGAGATGGTTAGACAGTGTCATCGATGCAACGAACATGAAGTTGAGCAAACTTCAGAGAACGGCGGAAGACCGGAAGGCCTGGCGTGATCTGGTCCATGGGGTCGCGAAGAGTCGGACTCGACTGTGTGACTGAACAACAAATTGATATAAGAGGGTCTGTCCCCAAACAGGATTCAGAAACCAAGCATTAAGTAAACAAAAGGAGTGTTGTCATCATCCCCACCCTCCGGCAACCCTTTTTGCTATCTCTGTCTCAGGAAGGCTGATTCATGTGTTACAAAGTTCACGTGTTCCGATACTACACTTGATCTTAGCCATTGTTCTTGTTAACAATGTAAACGCACATAAATAAAACTTTAAAAAAACCAACACCAACGTTCACGTGTTCTCCAGACTGTTCTGCGTAGTCCGCATTCCTAACCACGACACCAAACTGGCTCTCAAGCTGGCAGCAACTTGACAGTACTTCCTGCCACCATCAGAATATGTAAGTTGTCCCAAGAGGGCAAACAGAGGCTCCAGATCACTGCTGCAGGTCAACTATGGCTTGGGGAGGGAGGCTTAAGCCCACCCCTCTCCCTGCCTGCTGTGACCTCAGTTCTTCTGAACCAGACCTCCACATATCTGGGAATTTAGTTCAGAGCATGGAACGCACAGTGTACCTCTGATGGAAAGTCCTTGAGTGGCTATAAGGCTTCTGTAACGTGTGAATCATCCTTCAGTGGTCTTGTCCACAAGTCAGCGACCTCAGGTGAATGAGCCCGAGACCTCAGGTGACTCATGAAGGTTCACTTGCTTGGTCCTAAGCTCTTCACAGTGGCCACTTGGGGCTGCCTTTGGGGGAAGCCAGATGTGCAAAGCAGGCAAAGTTACAAAAGCAAAAGTGAGTGTTAAGAGCATGGGTTCCAGGGGAATGGGAGGTCCGGGGTACAGATCCAATTAACGGGTCCGAGCCATGGTGGGCGCACGGGGAGGGGGACGCCAGAAGGGATCCTCACCTAGGGTGCAAAATAAGCTGGGGCCAGCCCTGCATGTGCAGGACAGCAAGGCTACCACTCTTTGCACTGGTGCTATGAGATGCACTCGGCAGCAGAGAGGAGACCTTTTTAGGACACGTAGGTTCAGAGGCAGCCCCCCGATTCTACCCCAGCTAAGGTTGCCAACCTCCAGGTGGGGCCCGGAGAGCTCCTGGAATTGCAGCTGCTCTCCAGACTACGGAGATGAGAAGAATATATGGGAATATATGGACTTCGTCCATCGAAGTCAGTATTGTCTACTCAGACTGGCAGCAGCTCTCCAGGATCTCGGGCAGTCTTCCATTTAAAGGGACCAGGCAGTCTTCCACATCACCTACTGCCTGGTCCCTTTAAATGGAGATGCTGGGGATTGAACTGGGGACCTTCTGCATGCCAAGCAGATAGATGCTCTACCACTGAGCCACGGGCCTTTGCCAGTTCCCCTGGAGAAAACAGCAGCTTTGGAGAATGGACTTTGCAGCATCACATTCTTGCTAAGGTCCCTCTCCAAGTTCTGCCCCTGAATCTCGAGGAATTTCCCAACCAGTTGGCAACCCTGCCCCCCAAATACACCGCCCAGCCCCCCAGCTATGGCATCCTCTCTCCAGTCAGTCTTCTGATGACCCATATACATGGGAAAGCAATGCTCCCTCTAAGCTGTGGAGTCTTGTGAGCAAAACGTTCTACTTTGTGAACTATGTAAAGGTAAAGGTTCCCTTGCTCAAAAGCCAGTCGAATCCGACTCTAGGGTTGCGGTGCTCATCTCCGTTTC